CAATGAACTTTATTCAGCCATAAAGAAGAATGAAATTTTGTCATTTGCAAGTTTATGGATGGAAGTGGAGAACATCAACTTAAGTGAAGTCACCCAGGCTCAGAAAGACAAAGCTTGCGTGTTTTCTCTCATATGTGGAAGATAGCTCCAATACAATCATTATCATATATACATATATATAAATATATACAGAGCATGTTTCCAAAAGTGGGACTGTTACAGGAGACTAAGAGGGGAGGAAAAGAAGAAAAAATTATAGAGAGTGAACAATAATGAAATACATCTCATCTGTGTAGGAACAAGTCACAACAAAATACACCAAAAACTGTTGAACAATACAGGGTAGGTGGAAAAGAATGAGAAAGAGTGTGGAGGGGGCTAGACTGGTTTAAGCACAATATATTTACGGTAAAATACCAAGACAAAATCCCCACTGAACAATAAATGGATACTTAAACAGTGAAGGTCATGTAAAACAGCTCATGTTAAGAGGAGGGCACTAGCAGGTGAGTGGGAGGAGAGGATAAATGAAGAAGGTAAAGGAGAGCCAGACACCAGTGGCTCACACCTGAATCCTAGCTACTTGGGATACAGAGATCAGGAGGATCACAGTTCAAGGCCAGCCCAGGCAAATAGTTCTTGAGACCCTATCTCAAAAATACCCAACACAAAAAAGGGCTGGTGGAGTGGCTCAAATGGTAAGGTGTCTGCCTAGCAAGTCTGAGGCCCTGAGTTCAAGCCTCAGTGTTGCCAAAAAAAAAGGTAAAGGAGGGTGAATATGATTGATGTACTTTCTATACAGGTATGTATATGGAACATTGAAACCTGCTGGAGTCACTTTAAGAAGTGGAATGCAGTAGGAGAGAGAATAATAGAGGGGATGAATCAAATTAGGGTATAATACATGTATATATGAAAATGTCACAATGAAACCTCCCGTATAACTATCATATACTAATAAAAATGTGTTTTAAAATATTAGAGCAGAAATCAATGAAATTAAAAATATGAACCCAATGGAGGACATCAACAAAACCAAAAGCTGCTTCTTTGAAAGAGGCTCAATCAAATGGATAAACCTCCAGTCAGTCACCAAAAAAAGAAGAGAGAAAAGACACAAATTACTAATACCAACCTACAAAGTTTGAGACCCTGAGTTTAATCCCTAGTACTGGAAAGGAAAAAAAGAATTACTAATATCAGAAATGAAAGAAGGGACATCCCTGTAGATCCTGTGGACATTGAAAGGCTCATGGAGGAATATCATGAACAGCTACATGCATACAGATCTGGTGACCTAGATGGAATGCACCCACTTCTTACAGACAGACTGCCAAAACGCCTACAAAAAGCAATAATCTGAATAGACCTAAAAGAAATTGAATCAATAATTAACAACCTTTCAAAACAGAAAATACTAGGCTCCAGCTGGGTCCCCTGGTGAATTCTAAAATATTTAAAGAAGAAAATATACCAGTTCTCTACAATCTCTTCCAGAAGATAGAAGCAGAAGGAATACTTTCTAATTCATGTGTGAACCCAACTACCCTAACACCAAAACCAGACAAAGAAAAGAAACTACAGATCAGTATCTTTCATGAACATGGATGCAAAAAGCCTCAACAAAGTATTGATAACTGAATCAAAAAAAGAATACAAGTAACTCACTGACCAAGTGAGATTTATCCCAGATGTGAAAGGCTGGTTCAACATCTAAAAATGCATCAATGAAATCCATCACATCAATAAAGAAGAAAAATCACATAATCAGATCAGTAGATATAGAAAAAGCATGTTTAAAAACCTAGCTGGGCATGAATGCATTATACCTGTAATTCCAGCTTTCAGAAAGCGAAGGCAAGAGAATCTTGAGTTCAAGGCCATCCTGGGCTACATAGTAAGACTCCATCTTAAAAAAAAAAAATCCAATAAAAACTCTCAGCAAATTAGAAATAGAGGGGAACTTCCTCAACTTTGCAAAGAATGTCAACAAAAATCCCTACAGCTAATATATGGAACTTAGTGATGAGAACTAGTTTTCTATTAAGCAAGAATGTCCCCTCTAACCTGCTTTTCAACATTGTACTTAAATCCTAGCTAGCGCAATAGGACAAGAAGAGGAAAGAAAAAGTATACGGATGGAGAAGAAAGAAATAAAATTGTATTTGCAGATGACATGATCATCTATATAGAAAATTCAAAAGAATAGACCAAAAAACCTCTTACAACTAATGAATGATTATAACAAGGTTGTAGGATGCAAAGTTAGTACATGAAGTCAATCACTTTCCAATATACCAGCAAAGAACAGTGGAATTGGAAATTAAAAACACATTGTCACTTATATTAACACCCCCCAAATGAAATACTTAGGTACAAAGCTAACAACATATATATATATATATATATATATATATATATAATATATGTAACATATATATAATATATAACATATATATGTGTAACATATATAATATATAACATATATATATATAATATGTACCATCTATTAGAGGTAACATACAATACTTTTGATGAAGGATATCAAAGAAAAACTAAATAAATGGAGAGATATTCCATGTTCATGGATAAGAAGACTTGATATTGTCAAGATGTCAGTTATTGATCTATAAATTCCATGCAATATCAACAACGCAAGTCCCAGCAAGTTATTTCATGGATACCAACAAACTTATTTTAAAGTTTATATGGAGAGACAAAAGATCTAGAATAGCCAACTTAATATTGAAAAAGAACAGGATCAGAGGACTGATACTACCTGACTATGGACTTTCTATAATGCTACAGTAATCAAGGCACTGTGGTGTTGGTGAAAGAATAGTTTTTTTATTTTATTTTATTATTCATATGTGCATACAAGGCTTGGGTCATTTCTCCCCCCTGCCCCCACCCCCTCCCTTACCACCCACTCCGCCCCCTCCCTCTCCCCCTACCCCCTCAATACCCAGCAGAAACTATTTTGCCCTTATCTCTAATTTTGTTGAAGAGAGAGTATAAGCAATAATAGGAAGGAACAAGGGTTTTTGCTGGTTGAGATAAGGATAGCTATACAGGGAGTTGACTCACATTGATTTCCTGTGCGTGGGTGTTACCTTCTAGGTTAATTCTTTTTGATCTAACCTTTTCTCTAGTACCTGTTCCCCTTTTCCTATTGGCCTCAGTTGCTTTTAAGGTATTTGCTTTAGTTTCTCTGCGTTAAGGGCAACAAATGCTAGCTAATTTTTCAGGTGTCTTACCTATCCTCACCCCTCCCTTGTGTGCTCTCGCTTTTATCATGTGCTCAAAGTCCAATCCCCTTGTTGTGTTTGCCCTTGATCTAATGTCCACATATGAGGGAGAACATACGATTTTTGGTCTTTTGGGCCAGGCTAACCTCACTCAGAATGATGTTCTCCAATTCCATCCATTTACCAGCGAATGATAACACTTCGTTCTTCTTCGTGGCTGCATAAAATTCTATTGTGTATAGATATCACATTTTCTTAATCCATTCATCGGTGGTGGGGCATCTTGGCTGTTTCCATAACTTGGCTATTGTGAATAGTGCCGCAATAAACATGGGTGTGCAGGTGCCTCTGGAGTAACCTGTGTCACAGTCTTTTGGGTATATCCCCAAGAGTGGTATTGCTGGATTAAATGGTAGATCAATGTCTAGCTTTTTAAGTAGCCTCCAAATTTTTTTCCAGAGTGGTTGTACTAGTTTACATTCCCACCAACAGTGTAAGAGGGTTCCTTTTTCCCCGCATCCGGTGAAAGAATAGTTATAAAAGACTGCAGGAGCTGATCTAGGTAAGGCAAGGCATTGATAGCAGGGCCACAGAGTGTGAACAGTCAATCAAAGCAATTTACTCTTTCCCATTGAATGGAAAAGATGCCATTGATGACAAAAATTAACATTATTTAGTGTCTCACTAAGAAAGGAAAATGCCCAACGACAACTGTAAGATATGACTATAAGACATTTGTCAATTTTAAAGAGTAAGTGTAGCAAAAACACATCTTAGAATCAGTGAAATATGGTATTATTATCAGGTGTCTTCAGCCCCCCAGATTTTGCTGGAGGCCTTATATGGTCACGCACATGATGTTGTACTCACAGGGGTTTTATTTGTATGTTTATATAAAATGCCCCCCACTGCCTCCACTCCTCCTCTAGCAAGATTCTACCCAGACTATCAGGCCCACATTAAATGACTCTTTTTCTGTGGATCTTTCCTGACCAGTCAGAATTAGAGGCCCCTCTTCAAAGCTCCCATAATCCTTTGTGAACGTCTCCTTGACAGATTGCCCCACGCTGTGGCCAGCTCTACCTCTGTGTCAGGAGCTTCTCTCTTTTCTGATGTTCCAGCACCTAAAGTTTAGCAGGCCCCTCATTAAACTTTCTTCAGCAGAATAGAGAACCCCAGCAGGTATCGAAGAGGAGCCATGAGATGGTTCCCACACTGGGGAATAAACCCTGAGGGACTGGGTGACAGAGCAGGAAGGGACTTCTAAGGCTGATTTAGGGGTGATCTTTGAGCACATGAAGGGGTGATGCAACATGTCATAATGGACCACTCCCTATAACCCTGGAAGATAAACTTCTGTGTAGCCTGAGGGATTCAGGTCAGCCATTGTTAGAGTTGCTTAATGTGGGGAGTTCTGGAATGGGTTCCAAGGGTTAGTGTCCAAATCTTTTATTCTGGTGGTTTATTGTCCAGTGTATCACTGAAAAGGCTTCAAGAACTGGTTCTCAAACTTTAGCTTGAATCAGACTCAACTGAAGGGCTCACCAAAACCTGCTTGCTCCGCTCCTCTCCTGCTGAGTTTCTCATTTGGTTGTCTGGGCTGGAGCTCAGGTGAACCTGGAGTTCCCAGGTGATCCTGGTGCCTGTGGTCTGGGACTGTGCTTTGGGATGAGATCTGCTGTCCAGAGGCAGGTTGATGGACCATATAAGCATTACAATTCTATGACAGAATCTTTATTTTTGGTGCTCTAGGTGTTTCTAACTGGGGAGGCTACGCCTTGGCCTGTGCACTATACATCCTGAACTCATGTGAGGTCCATGGCCGCTATCTGAGGAAGGCAATTGGGCCCTCCAGAGCTCTTGGAGAACAGAACTGGACTCAGGCCCTGCCATCCATCACTAAGGTAACACACCCTGGCAGGCCATTGGTACAGAAGCAACTTTCTTGCTGGGTGAGGTATAAGTAGGCCAGCTGTGCCTCACCATAAGCCCAGGGCAAGCACCCTGCTGCTGGTGGTCAGAAGCCAGAGGCAGAGCTGGCGTTGAGGCAAGGTCTCCCAGCTTCCCTGGGCCTGAGGATAGGGACAGACAATCCTTTGACCTAATACTGATCCTAAGTCATATTTAAGACCTATTGTGAATTATCTTTTACCTTTCAGTTTGACTTTAGACAATATGCATAACCCATCAGCCCCAGTTTCTTTATTTGTAAAACTGGGAAACTCAGCTAAAGGCCTGACCCATGCAAGACACCTTCTGGATAGTGGTCAGTGGGTGTCCTTATCATCCCCTCCAAGGAGTTGACAACCCAGCAAGTACCTCTGGGGTGTGGCAAGTACTAAGGCTTAAGGGCATGTAGGGTGGCAATCCACCAGATAGGAGGGGACATCACAGTTGAGAAGAATTAGAACAAAGGCACTGCTTTAAGGACAGCTCAGTGCTGGTTTGATGAGATTGCTCCTAGATGGAGGACTATAGGCAGTGGTGTGATAGAAGTCAGAGGAGGGCTTCTGAGCTCAGGAACCACAAGCAGGGAGTCCAAGAGACCCCTGAAACAGTTTCCAAAATTATTCCTATATATGAGTTTTTCTGGGCAAGGACCCAAGGTTTTGTCCAATTGTCCTAGTTGGCTGGAGCCATCAAGAAACACTGGGAAGAGGGAGACCATGTTAGCCAGAACCAGAGCCATGACTTCCTCACAGAGGATTCTACCTGAGAGGTACTAAGGAGCTCTGCAGGGCTTTGGAAAGTGAAGGAATCAGAACCCACTGTGGCTTTGTCCAAGCTCCACAGAGTAAATGACCTGAAGACCTGTGTGCAGCTCCAGGTGTGTCCTATAGCCCAGGACAGAGGGATGTCATCAGCACACACACATCTAACACATACCTAACTCATGTGAACTCAGATATGTAGATAGGAGCCATAACCAGCCCTGAATATTGGTGTTGGCAATCCTGTCCCCAGGCCAAGCTGGATTGTCCACCCAGCTTGCTTCCACAGCCCTCCATGGGGCTGTCCTCGCCCCTTCCCTGCAACATTATTTCCAGACTCAAGCCCACCTCCTTTCTGCAGGGGTGGGACCTATCCCACCTGGAGGAACAGCTGGTAGACCAGATTTAGGGACCCAGAGGACCAGTCTGACTTCCATGGAAAATTTGCCAGGGTAATTTGGACCTTGGAAATTGGGGCCAAGGCCCAATCAGGTATGACCTGTGAGCCAGCAGAAGGGCAGGGAACATGGAGAGACAGACCGTGGAGGGTGCTGGTTCACACACTGAATAGCTTTCTGGGAGCAGAGGATAGACAACCTCTCAGCCCAAGAGACAAAAGCAGGCCAAAGGCAGAGGTTGCAGGAGCAGATGGCTGGCCCAGCACCATTCCCAGCCTGTCTGAAACAACCTCATGCACCTGTCTTACACATCTGGCTCCACTTTCCTGGCTTGGCCCCCAAAAGGCATAAATTAGTACATGTTAAAAGCAAATACCTGGAGGTCAGCTACCAGGTCTTTTATCTGCTTTTCCAGCAACCAGCAGAGGGAAACCCAGTGCTGGGTGCTGGGTAAGTCCTTGCTAAGTCAATGAATGAAGTACTTATGGGAGCCAAGCTTCCCAAATTCTAGAAGCATCTGTCATCTGAGGGGCTTGTTAAATGCACAGTGCTGACCCTGCCCTCGGGTTTCCTGATTCAGGGGATCTGGGGTGGTCAGAGAACCTGGATCCTGACAAGTTCCCAGGTGTTGTGTACGCTGCTTCTCTGGGACCACACTTGGAGACCCACTGGGTTGGTTTCCAAGCTGTGGAAGAGGAACGCACTCCTAGGAGCAGCAAAATTCCTGGGTGTTGAACCTGGAGGACAAAAGCTAAAATGGGATCAGCGTTTGTAACAAGTCCCGCAGCCAACCATGGAGCTGAAGCCCTGGAGTCCCTCATTTCTGACCAGCCTCCACATCAAAAGCCCCTCACTGCCTCTTTTCTTTCTTTCATGCTGTATTGTGCCCTCTCTGTTCCCTTTTTTCCTCTTGCCTATCTCTCCTTCTCTAGTTATATGTCTCTTTCTCCTTCCTGCCTCCCATCTGTTTAATTTGGACCTCTCCCTTGGTTATTATTGTCCCTTCTACCAAGGATGGAGTTGGGACTGGGGCTCTGGGTGAGCAGGAGGAGGGGGTGCCAACTCACCACTCAGTGAAGAGGCAGAGCTGAGATTGGAATCCTGGCCTCTTTTATCCAGACTCTGGGCATTTTGGGGGTGACTCAGAAGTTTCTGAGCTCCTGGTAATGCCAAGGGGGCTAAGGGAAGGGTGTGCATGGTGAGGGGGTGTCAGACAGCTGTAAAGACATTTTCAGGGAGAAATGGTCTTTCCTAGAGGGGCCCAGAGGGATTTCTGTGCTGTGTTTACACTTCCTGGATCTGAACTGGAAAAAAACATTCAGGAGCCGCCTCCCACATGATTCCTGATTCACTCAAACACAAAAGCATAAAACTTGCCCAGCAAATCTGCCTAGCCCCACACTCATCCTCTAGGGATGGAAAATTTTTTCACATTTATATAAGCCCAATCCTTCATAAATATATTAACAATGCACCATCCTTATGCAGGAAACAGAAGGGCATATTTTTAAGGAAAAGCAGAAGCACATGTGCTGAGCCCCTGGGGGTATGGCAGGCTCAGGGTTACTCTGAAAAACAACGAGGATTCAGATGTGGCATCCGGGGAGGGAATTTAGGGACCACAATAGAGTGACAGGAGCCAGGTTGGAAGTCTCTCTATGTTTCCTAGTCTGCTTTAAACTCCCGGGGTCAAGCAATCCTCCTGCCTCAGCCTCCTGAGTGGCTGGCACTCCCAGCCACTCCCAGGTATGCCCGGATTCCCAACCCACTTAGAAAGCAGCATTTCCCATAAATATCAGCCTACCATGCTCCAGTGTGAATTCATAGCAGCCATTCACGCTCAGCCTCAAAAGCTCTTTCCCTATCCACACTGGATCAAGCCCTAAACCTTGTCCTCACTTCGGTCCTCTTTCCCCCTCCCTTGCCCCACTGTCTGTCTCAACCCGGATAGAACAGCAGCCTGTAGGCTCTGCTCCAGCTGCTTCTACCCTCAGCTCTTAAAGGCTGAGCACCAGTCAATTCCTAACCTGTTTACTGATCACATGACTCTAAGGGCCCCAAGCCCCTCCCTGGGTCCCAGAATGCTAAGGGCAGGCAATGTGCTGAGAGGAAATGTCTCCATGGTCCCAGATGCATTGCCCCATAAAGAGAGGATATGACCAATGCAAGAGAAGTGGGAGAATAGAGCCCAAACAAAGGCTGGAAAATACCATTCTAGGCTGGGCAGGCTGCTGACAAAGAGCTTGTGTGGGAAAGTATAATTGCACTTGGGCCTCCCACCTGCAATGCAGGGGAACATGACCTTCATCCCCAGGACAGAATGGGAATGCAGGCTCTTGGGCCAATTGCAAAGTGACAGTTTCCAGGTGACATTTACTAACACGTTCCCCATTACTTTGAAGTTTTCAGTGAGTGTCCCAAGGCCCCTCGCTTGCTCATTCCTACTCTCTCACTGCCTCTGACCCTAGTTACCCTGGGTCTCAGTCAATGCAGGCTGCCATAACAAGACTCAGGAGCTTAAATCCCAGACACTTAGTCCCCAGAGTTCTAGAAGCAGGGACATCCAGGTCAAGGTGCTAACAGGTTCAGTTTCCTGTTGGGAGCTCTCTTCCTGGCTCGCCGATGGCTGCCCTCTCACTGTGTCCTAGTATAGTAGTCCTTGTGTAGAGCACTCCGATCCCTCTTCTTAGAAGAACACTAACTACATCATGGGAACCCCGACCTCATGACCTCATCTCAACCTTAGTACCTCCCAAAGACCCAATTTCAAATGCCATCACAGTGAGGGTTAGGGATTCAACACATGAATTTGGGGGAGCACAAATTCGTAAGTCCATAATGCTTTTCCTCCATAAAGTCTTCCCTGGGCCACCCTGATAAACTGGTTTGGTGTCTTTGCTCTATCCCCCTTGCCATGACCCCCATGTACTGTGACTGCCTGGTCACTCATCTAAACTGAGAATCCCCTGGAGACAGGGACCCTGTCACACTCACCCTGTATCCCTAGGTCAGGGCCTGGCACAGCTGGTGCTCAATAAAACTGATGGATGCTGATGCAAATGAGCGAATGCTGGCTTAGGAAGATGACAGCGTTCTCACCTGCCCTGATTTCCTGTTCTAGATTCCTTTGGTTCCTTCTTGTCACCTCCTGCCTTTGTCTGTGGAGGAGTGAAAAGGAGTATGTATTTGGCTTTGTCTCTTTCTGTTTGAGACCCATCTTCCTTAGAGGGAGCTTAGTGTTCCACCAGGTACAGACACATTAGTGACTTAGGCAAGTGGTTCTTTGTGACCTTGTTTTGGAAGGAGATTGAAAGAGTGGGGACCAAACCTTTTTTTCTTTTCTTTTCATTAACCAGCAAGTTAGTCAAAGCAAGAAAGCTTTTGAGCTCAGAGGCTCAGCCTTCCCACCAGCCTTATTTTGTGAGAACCTACTGTATGTCAAGGGCCAGGCTTTACTTCTAGTATCTCAACCCTCACAACAGCACTATTACTCCAATCATCAGAAACATCCCGATTTTATAGATGAGGACCTGAGGCCCAGAGAGGTTAAGATACCTGCCAGCAAAGACTCACATCAGGACTAGAGATGTGGCTCAAGCAGTAGAGTGCCTGCCTTGTAAGCACAAAGCCCTAAGTTCAAACCCTAGTCCTACAAAAAAAAAAAAAAAAAGGGCCCACATCAGATCTGTCTGATCCCAAAACCACTCTGCCTGCTGGGCCCTGAACTCTGCTCCCTCTAGGAGTTCCCATATCCATTCAGGGAATTACTTAGAGGGTTTCAGCAGCAGTATTTAGCACATGGCCCACAGAAGCTAATGGTGAAGTCTCAGGGCATGGGGCCACTGGCAGATCATTCAGAGCTGGGCAAGGGCAGGGTTGTCAGGAAGAATGAATCTTTGGTGTGTGAATCCATCACATGAAGGTAAGCACCTAAAGAAACAGCCAACCTGTTCAACCAGAGGCTTCTGAGGTGGGTTTGGGGGCCAGCAAGGCATGATGTAGGACCTATTTTTCATGATGATTCTTCCAGTGGGTTAGTATTTTTAACCAAAATTTTATTTTTTAAAAAGAGACACATTGAGCCAAAGGCTTTTTCCACTTATAGATGTGAACATTTCTTTCCTTTCCCTCCTGCTCCACAACTCCTACCTTTGCCTTATTTTTTGTTTTTTCCAGGAAGAAAAAATGTTGGGTATCTTGGTACAACACAAAGTCCGGAGTGGAGTCTCAGGCATCGTGGGCATGGAGGTGGATGGGATGCCCTTCCACGGTGTCCACACCAAGATGATCCAGAAGCTGCTGGACATCAGCACAGAACATGTGTGAACAACTGTGTTACATGTATGAGAAGTTCTTACCCACTGGCCAAGCCTGCATTGAGGCAGGAATTCCCCCAAGAAACCCCAGCTTCTCCCCACAACAACTTTGCAGGTTAACACTGACCCTAGGTGAGCAACTAACTGTCCACTGGTCTGGGAAGCCCCATGCCCACTTCCTGTAAGGAAACAGTGCCCATGATGTGGGCATGGGATATTTCTTTGGGGCTTCAAGTTTGGCTTTTGTTCCTGTGCTCTAGAGGCACTGTTTCAGCATTCCTTCACCCTTGCTTTTCTGGCCACCCATGTGGTCTGCTCTGAGAATGTCCTTGCCCATCACTTACAAGGACACCATGAACAATTAACTGCTAGGCAGAGCAAGAGAATAGGCATCACCAAGGCCATGACCAACCCCAAGGGGGTAATTAAGAAAGGGTAGAGTGCACACGTGTGGACACATACGTATTTTCAAAGCTTTGGGACTTTGTGGAAGGTTTGCTCACTACCACCACCAAAATATTTAGACCTTTGAAATGCTTTCTTTCTCAAGTAGCATTTTGTTTACTTAAGCACAAGATCCCTCCTCCAGTCATCACTTCCCCTTTGCTCCTCACCTCCTTCTACCCCCCTCCCCCTCCCCTTCCCCATGTGCTTGCCTCCCACCCCAAGCCAGACACATGAGAGAACAGCTGTATGCACCCCTAGAGCTCAAGGGAGGGTAGGGCCCGTTCAGAGTTGTCACAGAGTCCTGGAAACTTTAGTCAGCTCACCCTGAGCCCTTTTACAACCTCCCACTGCACATTTTCCAGCAAAAACAGAAACTGAGCCACTGACCACATCCCATTACACACTCACCTCTTACATCAGAATAACGTGTGGTACTTTCTGAGTGGTTGCTGATTCGTCCCGACAGGGTTATTTGGTTCCTGCACTAGGGCTCCCCCAGTGTTCCTTGAAACTACTTAATTTCATTTACTTAAACGTCTATTTTGATTCATTAAGGGTCAATCATTGTGAAGAAGGGATGCATGGTACAGAACACTCTAGATTGTACATGCCAGTAAAAAATAAGTATACAGTAAAGTGGTTCTGTGGTTAACTTCTAATTCTTCCTACATGGGGGCATGATGAAGCCCTAGGCAGAAATAGCTGGGTAGAGTCTCTGTCATAGCTCCCTTTGTCACTTTGGTGGAGGTTTCCACCTGGGGTCCATGTGCATGCTGGTGTGACATCCAGTGAAACACCGGAAAGGAGCAGCCAGACCTCCACCTGTGCCTCACAGCTCAGTGAGCCCACCTCAGCTCAACAACTTCACTAGCCAGGTTTGCTCAGGTTACAATTTCTGTCCCTGTTTTGGGACTACAGAGTTCCATGTTTTGGGACATTTTTGAAATCTTGATGACCACAAGAGAGAAGCCATCACTATGGAAAAGCTGCCAGCATTCTTCTGACTTGTGTTTTGGGGGAAGATGCTGCATGGGCCTTTGGTTTTGCAATAGTAATAACAGAATTCTGTTCCAACGTGGAGCAGTCTGAGGCATAATCATGTAATACGTCACCATCACTGTGGGCAGAAATGTATAGGGAGATGACTAACCTGTTTGGGAAAGAGGATAAGACCCAGCTGAGTCCAGACAAAACTGAGAATAGGGGTCTTAGACTCTGGACGGGGCACTCAAAGGCTGACTGCAGAGAGGCAATCCTGGGTCACTGTAGCAGGGGCCAAGGTGCAAGGGAGGGTTGGGGACCCCTTAGCAATCTAGCCAAAGGGCTACTGAAGCTCCTCTTTACAGGATCCAGTTTTAAAGCTTTTTTCATTCCATACTATGATTCCTGCTCAAACCCTTAGTAAAGTTTTACTCAAATTTGTCCTAGCTTTGTCTGTGCTTGGGGGAAGGGCCTGTGTGAATGTATGATGACATAGTGAGTGTGGCTACAGCCTGGAGAAGCTGAGGACAGGGTGATAAGAGGTGCGCTATAAGGAATGGTGTGGTTGCTAGGGTGAGAGATGGGCCTGGTGGCAACCAGAATGGATTCTCAGAACATATGAGCAACTGTGGGCATTTCCAGTAATGTCATGGGGAGGGAGTCCTGGTACAGGGAACATACCAGGCTCTGTAGGTATTCAAGGACAAGGTGGGAACCTTGGCACATTGAAATAGTGCATTCTACACAGACCTTACCATTGGTGGGACATGAAGGTAAGTGAGCCAGTTAAAGGGGTCAATGTCTTCTGGCCCAGTGCTACCCTGTTACTCAGATGGGAAGGGCATTCCTCTGAGGTCATTTCCTGCCTCCCATTGCATGAGCATTGCAAGGACTCTGCTAACCGACAGCCCCAACCTGGTCCAGCCCATTGCATTTGCTACTTCCTGCCCATGACAGGTGGCTTCTGCTGACTCCACCATGGAATTTAATGCTTTCTAGGTAGTATGGGGAAGATGTTGCTTACTAGCAATTAGCATAAACTTCCTCAGTGATGTTATATACATGCTAGAAGCAAAGAAACAGAGAGGAAAATGGTCCTTTTCTCCTCAGGGACAGATGAGGTCCACTTCAGATCCAGGCTTTATGTTTGAAGAAATGGATTTTGTTCATATGAAGATACAGGAAGGTGAGAGCCTAAAATCTGTTATGTGGAGGTGGCTTGAAGAGCTATCTGTTAGAGACTGTCAGATGCTCACCAATTCTGCCTTCTCTTCTTGTATGCCTAGGAAAACTACATTTCCCAGCATACCTTTCAGTTAGGTTGGGACCATGTGACTAACATCTGGCCAATGGAGTGTGAGTAACAGTGATACCAAGCACTTCCAGACTTAGCCATATACCCCTGTTGTGGAATTCTCTTTGTGCTGCTTTCCCTACCTGTGTAGATGGTTAGGGAAGACTCCAAGATGGAACCTGTTTATGGAAGGACACTGAATCATTGCCATCACTTTGGGAAAACTTGCCAGAAAGCAGCCTCTCATTGAACTTTGTATGAACAAGACATAAACTATTATTGACTGTTTGTTTTGGATTCATTTGTTTCTTCTGAAGCTGGAGATTCTAAGCACATGCTGTATCACTGAACCACACTCCCAATGCTTGTTTTAAGGCACTATGATTTGGGTGGAAGTTATTTGTTCCTTCTGTGTAGTCTAGCCTTGCTTACTATAAGCTGGAAGGTTTAATGCTGAGATGAAGGATACAAGAACTGTCTTCAAATAGTATCCAAAGGTCCACATGACTCCAGCAACCACAATTAAGGTCATTGGGTAAAGTGGTTCTACTTTGGTTCGTTAGGAGTTAACATTTTGTGCCCAACCCCAGAATGACTTCTCTTGGTAGTAGTGAGTTAGCTGTCAGTGGTATTTGTGGACAGACTGAACCACATTTTTGAGGGATATAGAGGGGATACTTCATAGTGAAGGAATTGGATAACACAACCTGCCAGGTACATTCCAGCACTTCTATCTGACATCTTAATCTAGCAGTACTCTGATAGTTATTGAATTAGAGCAAATTGGGTTGAAATTCCATTTCAACCCAACTTGAGTCACCATTGTGACCCCATCAAGGACTACTATCTTACAAGATGAACTCCAGAAATGGAAGCTGAAAGATCACTAGCTGTAAAAACTAAGGTTATCAGAAATAGCACGGAGCCAAGAGGATCAGATTCTGTCTGCCTCTTGATTGTCCCAGCTGAAGGAAAGCAGCAGAAGGGGATGTGTTCTGTGCTGAAGATTTCTCCCACTCTCCTCTGGCCAACCCACAGACCAGTGTGTGTAAACAGGAAGATGAGCCCTTGTCTTACTAAGCAACACTGATGAATAAGAAAGGAATCTTAATGGCTTCTGCCACCTTCAGTCCAAACCAGATGGACTTTTTCTCCCACCCCTTCTCTTAGGAGAAAAAGGACTCTTAATGCTCCCTCCCCCCAATATCCTTACTTACTCTGTTTAAAGAAGGATGTATTCTTCTGGAACTGTCCAGGACTCCGGGAGCCTGCCCCAAAGAGGGATTAAATGACCCAATCAAATTTCTTAGGATGCAGTTAATCCTTAGTGATTAGCATGGAGTCTGCTCCTACTGGAAAGACTCCCCAGCCTAAAAGCTGGTCAACAAATGTGGGCCTCCCCAAATGTTATCATTAAGGAAATTCCCAAATAGATGACTGCAACAGGCCTTCTTCTTTGAAACATTTCTTACTGAGGAGGGGATGTTTGGCTGAGCCCTCCCTCACTTGGGGATACAGTTAGCCAGCACGTACAAAGGCTCATGTAAGCAAAGGCAGAGGGAGTAGTATTCTCCACACCACAGGGCTGGGCTCTGTCCTCAGAAGGGAGGCAAAGTCCCAGACAGAATTTGCAGCAATGTGCTGAACACCTGAATGACACCTTTTCACTTGAGGGATCTTTCTTGACCACTTGTTGGGTGGTCAAGGACAAATTCCCCCCAATTGCTCTGAGTTTTTTCCCAACCAGGTCAATCCCTGAACCTTCCTGGCTGCTTAGTATTTCAAGGACCTCCTAGATCCCTCTGATGTTGGAAGATCCCTCCCCCATAAGGACTACAGCACACTCTCGTTGTGGCTACTTTGCTTTATTTGGTTAAGTTGCTGAAGTTTGCTACATAAACCCATTGCACAGTCTAACACACATTTATTTGGCATAAAAGAGAGGACAATACAAAAATACAACTCTTGATCGTAAATGTAACTGCCCTCAGCTCATCCCAGTCCATACAGGTGGGAATGCCAGTGTTTAAGGTCAAACTAGGGAGAAATACTGTGAAATGAAGAGGCACAGAGGAATCAACCAATCTCTTTTCCCCGTATGATTATAGGCCAAGGCTGGGTGGGCTCTTCCTGGCTGTGCCACCTTCAAATCTGGTGACTTTCTCCTCTAAGAAAAGAAAGAGAAACTCCCAGATCATCAGAGGCCCTCCATAAGGAACTAAGGCTAGGGCTTGGGCTGTCCGGTCAAAGCCAAGTGTAGCCCTGGGACCCCAGTAGTCCTTCCCTGGGGTTCATCCAGCCTGGGCCCTTTGCCTCTGGTACCTTTGGTAAGAGATAATGGTAAAGGATCAGCCTTTTGGATATCAGGGAGGAGAAGAGAGGGAGATAGAGGATGGGGTTCTGTCTGTTTGCCCCCTCACCCTCCACTTTGCAGATTCCAGAAGTGTTCTTCCAACGCTAACTTCTCCCTGCCCTGGTCTCTTCCTGAAATTAAGCCTAGCTAGCCTCTTGATTTGGAAGGACTCAAATCCCATGTCTTTGAGGGCATGCCCTGGGAAATCAGAACTGGCCAGAAGTCTGAAGGGCTGTGCTTGCAGAAGCCATGTCTCTAAATTTGAACAAGTAGGATGCCTAAGGACCTCATAAACTCCTCCATGCTGCCTCCCTAAGAAGTCTGAGGGGGTGCTCAGGGAGCAGAAAGATTTGCTGCAAAATTCAAAGAATTTTGTGTGTGCTGGGGCTGGGAGGGATACTGCAGCATGGCCAGGCACAAAGCTGCAAGGGCCACTAGCCCTGTATCCAGCCTTTCAAGACAGAACAAAAGTTGTGGTTGTTATCTTGGGCTGCAAGGGCCCACTGTCAACTCTAGGTAAGTGAGACGGGACATCTAGTAGAAGAGCAGAGATGAAGAACAGCAAAGTTGGGCTCTGGACCACCTCTCTTCCTTGTCACCAGAGCTATTTAGACCAGAGTGGTGCCTCGCCCCGGGCCTGTGAGCTGAGAGATGCAAGGATGTGTGTTTGAATCTGAGAAGTCTGGGAAAATGTTGCACTCCTCTCCAAGCCTGCTGTGTGTGACTGGTGGGGAGGCAGGGGCACCCCAGGCAGTCACATGACCCTAGCTTCAGTGTCTTGGCACACAGCTGTCATGGAGACCCTGACATTTTGTTATCTCTTCTCTCTCAACACCTCAGGCTCCTAGGTCTGGGCTTCTGGGAATGGTAATAGAAAGCTAACGAGGAGGAATGTGTGTCAGGACCATGGTGAAGGACACACTGGCTTCAGTCCCCCATCCCCACACTTGAGCTTCACCACTGACCTTTTGAAGGACCCCTGGCAACTTCCTGGGGACCATTGTTTGCTATCAGCCTTCAGGCTTGAGGGAATCTACTCAATTCTCCTTGCAAAAGTGAGATATGGCTGGAGTTGGGGCTTACTCCCTTGCCTGTCACTCCTCTGCTGTCCCTGCCGCCACACCATGCCCTGAACATCTCCCCACCTTCCGTCTCCTATCCTTCTTCCCTTCTGGGCCTGTTATGGGGTGGGGCCTGAGTGTTAAGGATGGCAATATAGCAGGTATTTGGACAGGTATCATCTGTGACAACAGTGACACTAGAAGGCCCTGGCAGGTAAGCATCCAGGTCCCGTCCCTTGCCTCCCAACTCTCTACTGTCCACATCTTCACTGTGTCCACACTGTACCCCAGCAGCTCTTTGGAATCTCCTGGAAGTGATAGTCCACTGTCCCCCTCCGACTAGCACCCCCAACCAGCTGCAGAGGACACCCAGGGGCTGATGGGGCTCATCCCTGCACTTGGCAATGCCTCTGGGCTCAGCAAGCTCCAACAGGCCTCCAAGGGCCAGACAGGCCTGGCTATGGCCCAGGCCCATCATTCCCTCCAGCAGAAAGAGGCACCTGCTCATGGCTAAGGGAGAGGCAGCCAGCACGCAAGCTGAGGACCACACAGTCCATGGACTGAAGGCTCAGGCCTCACCTAGCCCCACACATGGGTGACTCAAGCTAGACCAACCCTCCTGTAGGGGACCCACCCACTCCAGGCGAAGTAGGGGTCTGGAAGGTTGAATGGAGCTTAGTTAACAACTCAGGCTCCTCACCATGGGCCCCACTTTTCCCAGAGGCCTCAGGGGCACCCAGGGGGTAGGCCTCCCTGGCCCGGCCGGTCCTGGAGCAGGTGAGGAAGGCCAGACAGGCTCCACGGAGGCGGGCCAGGTCCCTGTGGGTGGTCTCGCTGACAAAGCAATACAGCACGGGGTCAGCAACACAGTTGAAGCTGGTTAGGAGGAGGGAAAAATGGTAGGCATTGAAGATGCCCTTGGCGAACTCGCAGCTGGCCTCCCAGAGGCTGCGCACCAGCAGCAGCACGTGGTAAGGCAGGAAGCAGGCCAGGAAGATGACCACAGTGCTGAGCACCAGCCGCTGGATCTGGTCCTTGCGGCTCTTCTGGGTGCCGTGGCTGCGGCGCACGGCCCGCAGGATGCCCTGGTAGGAGGTCAGTAGTAGGCAGATGGGGAAGAGGAAGCCCACCAGGAAACGGTAGTAGTTGATGCTGCGTTGCCAGGGCTGGATAGGATAGTGCTCGAAGCAGACACGGTGCTGGTCCTCATCCTCGATGACCTCCTTGTGCATGAGGAAGTAGATGCTGGTCAGCAGCTCCTTGGCCCAGATGACCACACTGACGCTGACAGCTGCCTTCAGGGTACGAAACTGGTGGAAACGGAAGGGGTGAGCCACGGCCAGGTAGCGGTCAATGGAGATGCAGCAAAGGAAGCCCACACTGATGTAGATGTTCTCGTAGAGGAGAATGCCACAAACTTGGCAGGACAGGTCACCGTGGGACCAGTTGTCATGCTGCAGCACGTACTGCAGCCAGAAGGGGAGCGAGCAGATGTAGAAGAGGTCTGCCACTGTCAGGTTGCACAGGTACACACCTAGCTCATTCCGGGCCTTGATCTGCAGGTAGCCAAAGTAGAGGGACAGGCAGTTGGCTGGGAAGCCCACCACCAGGACGGTGACGTAGACCACAGGGGCCAGCGTCTGGTGGATGGTGTGGTCAATGGTGCAGGTCAGTGAGGCATTGTCTGCAGTGATGTTCCCCATCTTTGGACTGGAAGGGGGCTGTATGCCTCATGGACTCGGCAACTGGGCCCATTTCTCCACTGCCATCTTGTTTGTAGAAAGTGACTCGATCTATATCAAGGGCTGGGCATCATGGGTGGTAGGTGAGCCCCTACAAGTCAAAGATGGGAAAGGCTTAGAAAAAATAATCATGACCAACATTTATGTAGCACTTACTGTATGTCAGGTACTGTTCTACATGCTATACTCATATTATTTATCTGTACCAGCAACCAACTCCAATGCCACCAGAAATCTAATAGGACACTTACCAAGATACCAAAACATGGCTTATGGGTCCCATTTCCCATCTCTGGCTTCCCTTATTTATTTCCTGCCTCTTACTTGTTTTTCTGGTCCATTGATAAGCAAAGGAGATCAGGAAATTGTAGGAACATGAGTCCATCCTGAGCAGGGCTCTCCAAGGGAGGCTGAAAGCAAAGGTCAAGTCCAACCCTCACACAACAGTGAGGATCTCACCACCCTTCCCTACAGCAACCAGCATCACATTTTTCCTACTTGCTTATAGGACTGTGTTAATTAGATCCAACACTGAAGACACAACCTTTGCTGGGGGCTTCTCCAGACCGCATCAGAAGTGACTTTGTCCATATCCTATTGTGCTTTAGCAAGAAACAGAAGCATAACTTCCCCAGGGTTCTACCAGGATTCCCATGTGCTCATCAGCAAACACCTCTTCTCTCCAACATGAAGACTAGGGAAGTTTCTGGACCAGGAACCGAAAGACATGAGTGCCAGGTCTGAGTCAGTCACTGCCCTGTGTGATGTGTGAGTCCCCTATTCTCAGCCTCAGTTTCCCTCATCTGGAAACTGGAGATAAGAACACTTGCCCTCAGGCGTGAGGACCTGGTCAAATGATGGCCATGAAGGTACACAGCATTTGTTTTCCAGAGGCAAAGGCGGGAGTTGAGGCTCATAATCTTATTTGAATTAGTGAAAAGTTCATATTGCTGAGAATTTAGCACAGAGGATTCCAGGTACACAAATAAGTGTGAACAAGATAGAATAAGATGTTTTGTTGTAAATGAACATATGGAAATGATAAAGGCCTGAGCTACTGTATTGATTTAACACTTCTCTCTCTGCTAAAAAATCTTACTGGGTCTAAATCAGCATTTTTGTTTTGTTTTGTTTTCTTCTTCCTCCTCCTCTTCCTTTTTTCTCTTCCTCCCTGTCTTCCTCCTCCTCTTTAGACAAGTTCTATATAGACCAGGCTGGCCTGGAAATCCCAATCTTCCTGCGTCAACTCCCCAGTGCTGGGAAGGCTAAATCAGCATTTTTTGACTTTTTCATATCATAACTCCTTGAAGAAGCCTTTTTAGACATTTTATTTCCTTACTACTCCCTCCCCACCCGAGATGAAATTTTAACATGGCAGACCTCCTGCCTACCCATCTGTGCACTGAGATCTAGAGAGTGAGATCTAGTTACTATGATCCCTAAGAGTTTTACACTCCCCCACCCAGCCAAGAACTGGTTTCCCTCCCCATTGAGAATGCATGGTCAGCATGCATTCTCAGTGAATAAGGTCTGAATTAGGTCGCTTTGTGATATATGCAGATCAGTGCTGCTCTTGTCGCTCTCTTCACTGAGCTGAGTGGGGACTCAAGGGCTCCTGTGTAGGGAAACCCTGAGTCCCTGACTCAGTGTCATCAGCCCTCCGGACTCTAGCTCCCAAATCCAAGCCCTCTGCCTGCAAGCCTGCTCCACCCTCCTCTATGTCCTCCTTCTGCCTAGCCCTGAGGCCGCCAGAGCTGAGAGGAAGCTGGCCCAGCATGCTGGGGAGGGACTCAGAGAAATCCAGCCCCACAGTTCTAGTCCTGGGGTCCATCGGGGATAAGCATGAGGAGTTTCCCTGAAAAATCACACTCAGTCTTATAAATAACCAAATACAGTTGTCATTCTTATCTGTGATTTCTGTTTTCATGGTTTCAGTTACCTGTGGTTAAGAGGAAACTGGAGAGTGAGTCCAGCACAGTTAAAATATTTTGTACTCAAAAAGCTGAAGCAGGCAGATCAAGAGTTCAAGGCCAGCCTGGGCTACATAGTGAGACCCTGTCAAAAAAAAGCAAAAAGATACTTTGAGAGAGAACATAGTTTTATAACTTTTGTTATAGCATATTGTTTTAATTGTTCTATTTTATTGTTAGTAATAACTCTTCATATCTTCCTTGTCTAATCTACAAATTCAACTTTGTTGGATGGATGGATGGGAACCCATGATTAGTAGGATTCAGGACTACCTATCTGTACTTTCAGGCACTCGTGGGGTATATTGGAATGGATCCCTTGGGGGACAAGGGAGACTACTTTATATTCATTTTTCCTAGGTAAAGGGACCATAGTTTTCATAAGTGTTTCTAAAATGGGCAAGAAACAGAGCTGGCCCAAAGCTACCCTCTCTCTCACCTGGACTCCTTTAGCTCCCTCCAAGGCCAAGCCTTGCTTCTCCCCTCCTATTGCCCCCACCAAGCTTTTTCTCCCTCCCACAGCTCCACTCCTCCCTCCATTGCAGCTTTCTTCTTTACCTCAACTCTGCCCCCATCCCACTCTGCCCAGCCCTCCCACTCATGCCCCCACCATCATCCACATGGCAGCCACGACAACCTTTCCAAAACACAGACCACAGCCTCTCTTCCTTGCTTCACATGCTTTGAGGTTAGCTTCTCTCCCACCAGAGTAGAATACAATCCCCCTGTGATACCTACAAGGCCCACACAATCTGGCTTCAGCTCCCTTGACCTTACCTGCCACCCCATACTGCAACTGTAGGACCAGCTTCCTGTGTCACAGTCACCGCTCCTCTGACCTGTTTAGGCTGGGTGTCAGCTACCACTACTTCCTAAAGTTCTCCTCCCTACACTGCCTCACCCCTACCACAGCACCTGCTCCTTCTCTATCTGATCTCAGCTTGGTTGCCACCTCGTCTTGAGGTTTATTTGTTTTCTTTTTTATCACAGCCCCCTTCGCAGTCACCACCACACCATCCTGTATGATTGTTCCAGAAGCTCCTCTGCTATTTTTCTTGTTTATTTATCACTCACTATAATGTAAATTCCAACATAGCAGAGGTCTTTTTTTCTACCTGTTCACTCTCCAGCAGCTTAAAGTATGCGGAGGCTTCTTAAATGAGCAGGTGAACACCAGACCAGTGCCTATTTTCCAGGTGAGGAAACTGAGGTTTGAAAAGGGAAGTGACTTGCCTGAAGCCAGCTGGAGGAAGGGAGCATCAACATTAGAGTCCAGGACTCTGGTCTGTACTCCACCTCCCTGCCATGCACGATCCCAACCTGAGACTCACCTCCCATCTCTCACTCACCTGCCCCATCCTGTCCAAGGACACTGGCCTAGAATTTCTGTGATGGTGATGGAAGGGAAGCTTCTTGTTGTTTTAATTGTGGTAAATGTACATTACATAAAACCTAACCATCTTAGCCATTTTCAGTGCACAGTGGCATTGAGTACATTTGCGTTGTATACCCGTCACCATCCCCCATCTCTGGAATGCTTCTCACCTTGCAGAAGTAAAACTATATTCACTAAAGATGATCTTGTCAGTCTCGGGCAACCACATTCTACTTTCTTTCTCTATGATTTTGACCAGGGTGGAGTGGCTTAAGCATGAGGCCTTGAGCTCAAACCCTAGTACACACACACACACAAAAAAAGGAAAGAAATGTTCTACTATTTTGACCACTCTAGGAGGTACCTTGTATAAGTGTAATCAAATGGTATTTCTCTAATTGTGTCTGGCTTTTTCCATTTAGTTTAATGTCTTCAAAATGCATCCTTGTTCTAGCATGTGTCAGACTGTCCTGCCTTTTAAAGGCTGAATAAAAATGCAGATAAATGCATAAGTCACCTTTTGTTTATTATTTGTCAGTGGACATTTGGGTTGTTCCCACCTTTAGCCAGTGAGAATAATATTGCTATGAACATGGATGTACAAAGATCTGTCAAGACAGGTCTGGTGGCTCACTCCTGTAATCCTAGCTACTCAGAAGGCAGAGATCAGGAGGATCACAGTTCAAAGCCAGTCCAGGCAAATAGTTTGCAAGACCCTATCTCGAAAAAACCAACACAAAAAAGGGCTGGTGGAGTGGCTCAAGGAGTAAGCCCTGAGGTTCAAACCCCAGTACCACAAAAAAAAAAAAAAAAGTCTGTCGAGCTCCCACTTTCAATTCTTCTGGGGAGCTACCCAGAATTGAAGTTACCATATGGTAACTCTATGCCTAATTGTTTGATAAGCTGCTCTTTGCTTTCCCTAGTGGCTGAAGTGTTTGTTTATTTGCTTTCACTTAGATGTTTTAGTGGTGAGAGGAAGGGGAAAGGATTCCTTGAGGCCTACGGCCCCCAAACTGCCCACAGACCACTAAGTCAGAATTGGGCCCTACTCACCCTTCTCTTGACAGCAATTCTGTCCCACACTAAGGGTCTGAATACCCCCCCCAGGCTTCTCTATAAGGAAGTTCACAGTAGCACAGGTCCCAGAGTGGCTCCTAGGGGCACTCACTCAGGACTGCTCATATTTCTGCATTTTCCTTGGGTTGTCTGCAGTCTGGATAGAATCTACCTGCAGGAAGATATGATCCATTCATAAGCACAGGACCCCGGGCTCCAACAAAATAGAGCAAAGGAAGTCACCATGAAAACATGTCCTGTCAGGTCTTGGAAATTCCCTGCCAGTCACCAAGCCTGAAGTCTGTTGTTTACTTGTGGTAAGTGTATGGACGTGTGGGGTGAGGCAGAGCGATGGTTTGTATCTTCCTCTTTCCTAGGCCAGCAGTAAGCTAATTCTGGCAACTAAAGTCAGAAATATTCAAGCCTCCAGAGCCAAGAAGAAGCATTTACTACAGGTAGATTAAAGTACTTCCTATGCTCATTTTGGAGCAAAAAGAACAGTTCCTGAACTTGGGTGCATCAGAAAGCCCCTGGAAATTTGTTAAAACAGATGTAGAACCTCACCCTCCAGAGTTTCTGGACATGGTGGGTGGGAGCTCAAGAATTTTACATTTTAAACAAACTCTCAGGTGGTACAGATGCTGCTGGGCCATTGGGCCACTGACCACACTGAGTAGCAAGACGCTATACAGTTTAGAAGGTTCAGAGCTCAGCTTAAGAACATGTGTCCTGCACACGTTCCCAAGGCAGGGGAGCAGGTGGCTGGAAGGGGAACTTAAGACCTAGCAGAACCTGTGGGCAGATCCAGGACACAGCCCCCAGGCATCTCCAGACTGATTCAGGCTCTCGAGGAGTAGTGGCCACCGTCTCAGTACTTACACCGTTCATTTGTAAAGTGTTTTATAGTTTACTGAGCATTCTACTTCTGCTCTGTTGTCCCACCTCTACAATAGCCCTGCTGTAGTCCCCATTTTAGAGACAAGGACACTGAGGTCCAGAAGATGAAGCAGCTTTCCCAATAGTCCAGTGCTTCCAGGTCTCATGGAATAAGTATTTGTGGCACACATGCAGTGGTCATGATGCAAGACTAGACCCAGGGTGGAGTGGAGGGGGAAGACGGGAGCTTAGAGATAAATAAGAAAGAGCTCCCACCCTTAGGAAACCTCCAAGACTAGAAGACAGGAATGCCACATGCACAGATAAAGGCAGTATCTGGCAGCTGCTGTGGGCATTGCTCCCTCATACATTCAGTGTTGGTTCACTTTTTTTACTCCATGCACACTCTCTGTGGGATGGTATCTCCTTCATGGTTCCAACACCATTACACTCTGGTGACTCCCAGACCCCTCCCCAGGCTAAAGTTTGCATAACCAGCTCCTGGCTCCTCACAGGACATGCTCTATGAGGCCCATGCTGGGTTTGTCATTTTCTCCACTAATCTGTTCTTGGAAAGTTATGTCCCCACCTGCCCAGTCGCTGGTGTTGGATGGCTGGCCTTCAGCTTCCTCCCTCATCTTTATCCATAACACTAAGTAATCACCAAATGTTGCCATTTTCAATGCCTAAGTATTTTCCATATCCTTCTCCCCCTTGTTAGTCTTGATGTGGTCAAGACTTCCTCCCCAGGAGAAGATAGGATTCCTGTCTCTATCTTACCACCTCAAAACCATTCTCTGAAACACAAATCTAACCAAGTCACAGCCTGTTTCTATGGCTCCCCAATCATCCACCCACCTGACTACCCACACACCCATCCATTCACCTGTCCACCCACTACCTACCTCTCTAGCCACTCAGCCATCCACCCACCCACCCAGTCATTCACCCATGCACTCATCCTTACATGCATACATCCACCCACTACCCAACCATCTACCCAGCTACTCATAAATCCACCTACCTGTACTCATTCATCCATTTCTTTACTTAAGTATTCCTTCATAGAACAAATGCTCATTGAATGCCTATTATATGGATGGCATTACCCTCACCACTGGTCCCTAGAGTCAAGTTGCTTTTAGTCTTATGAGGAAGGGGAGAAGATAAATGAAGCAAGCTCATAAGAACACAGGATTTTATGGGAATTCATTGGTAGTGGTTAACCCAGTGAGGAAAGCCTGTCCTGAGCAGCAATAGCTATACAAAGGCTAAAAGAAGAAGGAAGGGCTGCCCAAGCAAAGGGGGGTTTCTGCCTGTGGAAAATGTGTGCATCCTGTCAAATACAAGAGGGAGAAAATGAGTGCCGTTGGGGAACTGAAAGTAGCTTCACATGACAGGGTCTAGGTATGAGATAGGTATGGCCAGAGAAGAGACAACAAGGAACTGTAGAAAATGACAACTAATTAGAAGTGAGGTGGGGAACAGTCGGGGCAAATCTGAGAGGCTCCTCAGTGCATAGTCCTTAAGGCTTTCAAAATTACTTGTTAGATGGATGGGTGGGTAGAGAGGTGGGTGGGTGGATTAATGCATGAGGGGTAGATGGATAGATAGATGAGTGAATATGCGCATGGGTAAGTGGATGGGTGAATGGGTACACAGATTGATGGATAGGTTGATGGCTGAGGTATAGATGGGTAAATGGATGAGTGAGTGGGTGCACAGATAAATGAATGGGTAGGTGGACAGATGAGTGGGAGTGGGTGAGTGGATAGGTAGCTGATGGTTGAGGGCTGAAACAGTGACGTCGTTAATAGAAACAGGAAAGTGAGGAGGAATCTCCGTGGCCTCCTCTCTGCTCAGGCTGCCTGAGCTGAACAGAGGGTCCTGCTTTTTCATGCAGGCCTTATCATAGTTATCTCTTCCTTCTGCCACTCCCTGAGGACAAGCACCCTAAGAAGGAACTGCACCTTGTCAAGAGTGCCCCTTCTCTACCTGATTTCCAGAAGAACCTTGATCCTCAAAAAGCAAAGGCCACATTGGATACAGAGTGTTCTGCAAATGTAAAAACACAGAAGGGATGGGAAAAGCAGGAAAAGCACATCACCAGGAACCCTCCACTTGCCAAGTGCTGGGTGCATTTCTGAACATTCATTTTTTCCACACCACAGGCATCAGTTCCCACTTTACAGATAAAAAACTGAGGTGCAGACAGATGAACCAGCCTGCTCAAGATTCCACAATTGGGATGTGGCAAGGCCAGGTTTTCAACTCTGACTGGCCCACACTTTCCTTTAAACCTCATTCTGAGTGTTCATCGGGATGGCCTCTGAGCAACCAGCCTCTGCCTCCAGGCTCCACTGAGCTCCAGGCCTCACAGAGGCCATCACAAGGACCAGCAGGCTGAGTCCTGGGGGCTGCCTGTACCTGGTGGATGCCCTACCAGGCCAACTACTTCTTCAACACCCACTGAGGAAAGAAAAGCTCTCCCAAAGAGGTTGCTAAACAGACTCAAAACAACACTTTATCATCCAGCTAAAAAACTGAGAAAAACACACACAGAAAATGA